CACAAAGCAACTCTTGGGGCCTTTTGCACACCAAACCCACAACACAATGCAACACTTGCGGCCTTTTGCACACCAAACCCACAACACAATGCAACATTTGGGGCCTTTTGCACGCCAAACCCACAACACAATGCAACACTTGGGGCCTTTTGCACGCCAAACCCACAACACAATGCAACATTTGGGGCCTTTTGCAGCCACTTCCAGGCACATCCCTGCATTGCCCCTGCATGCAGCTAACACAGTGGGCAAGGAAATGGGAACTGCTCAATGTTCTCTGAAGCAGAGCTATGGGTACTTCAGTAATAACCAACGGCCCATTAACAGCAGCAAGGCCTTGCAGCAGGCACTGTGTAATTAGCTGAAACTTCTGTAAACGATAAATTTATAATTAGAGTCTCTCTAACAGCTTATAGCAGTGGAAGGGGGTTGTGTGTCTGCTTCCTGGGTGCCAGCACCTCTGTGGGTGAGCACGGCGTGTCCCTGCTGCTTGTTCTGCTTGTGGAGAGGTGTTTCATTAAAGGCCAATTGGAAATTTAATTATATTCATTCTCTTTGATTGCACATTTCGCTCTAGGTGGACTCACCTGCATCTCCCCTCCCTGCCTGCGTGCTGAATCAATCTCAGCAGTCGGGTTGCTTGCGAATATGGATGTTTAAGACTCACACGCCTTGCTGCTCACATTCACATCTTTGTTCCCACTCCCGGAGGAGTCGTAGACTCATGGAATCATGAAGGTTGGAAAAGACCTCTCAGATCCCCGAGTCCAACCCCAACCCGCCCCACTCTGCCCCACTGACCACATCCCTCAGTGCCAGACCTCCACACTGAGCACTCCAGGAACAGTCACCCCGCACTCCCTGTGCCAATGCATCGCTGCTCTTTCAGAGAAGAAACGTTTCCTAATACCCAACCCGACAGCTTGAAGCCTGGAGCACCTTTGTTTCCAGCAGTGGGGTTGGGTTGGTGGGATTCTCTTCAATGGGGCACGATGGTTGCTGCAGCGGTGCTGGGTCTGTGTGCTGTCCTTGCCCCCAGCTCCACCATCCCTGTCCCCGCTGCTGAACAGAGACCTCACTTTTATGGGCACTACAGCAGCCACCGCTTTATTCGAATGGAGGCTTCTTATGGTTTAATATCATTAAATACAGATGCAACTTGTGTTCTCTAAAGCTGTAATGCCCCTTCCTGTTACTGCCTTACAATTAACTAGGCTATAAAGCTTTCAAACATATTGCAGACACTAATTCAACTGGATGGGGAAGAAACATGGTTTTATTGGGCAATTACAGGGCTTGGAACACGCTCTGATCCACGTGATGGCTTCCCAACAGACCAAGGGTCTCCCAGGCCATGCTGCTAAGCAAGGTTCAAAGGTGGCATCCAAATAATCCTGTCTCCAGGCTGTGGGGGTGATTTAATTCACAGCTTAATAAAAAGCTGTCCAGGAGCGTTGTCAGACCTGGGGAAAGCAGGGAGCTGCTGTTGCCAGGCTGTCCACACCGCAGCTCCCACTTCTGCTCTACTGGATGCCTGGAGAGCTGTGGGTGCCCCATTCCCAGCACTGCTCCAGGCCATGGATGGGCTCTGGGCAGCCTGGTCTGGTGGGGGCAACCAGCACTGGGCAGGGGTTGGGGCTGGGGGAATGCAAGGGCTCTTCCAACCCAACCATGCTGTGATTCCCTGCAATGGATGTGGGGCAGATTAAATCCCCCCACAACACCCAGTGACCTTGTTCAAGGCACTGAGGCCTTGGCATCTTTTCCAGAGGTGGATTCTGGGGGTGTCCAGCTCCTATGGCTGAGTTACTCCACCCAGATGGGGAGTGAGAGCAGATGATCTCCATATTTCTTTTCATATTTTTCTCTCTCTTTTTTTTTTTTTTTTTTTTTGGAAATGGAGAGAATTTGTTAAGTGCAGAAGGGAAATGGTTTTATTTCAGCTATAACAGCAGAGATCTGTATCCCTGTTTATCCCCAGTATGACTGCTGCTTTCATGGTATTACCTTCAAGGAGCAGTTTCTCATTTGTATGTTTCTCTCCAGAGAGGAAGGTCGTATCCTCCACAAACGAGAAAACTAATTAGAGAAGTAATTCAGCAGTTGTCTGATAGGTCAGATAGCAGGAATAAATACACAGGTTAGCGCATGGCTACGATGATGCTTGCAGGCAGGAGCAGGAGCAGCATCCTACGGGTGAGAAGCGATCACGTCTCTCATCTGCAGCCTCAGAGCCGGAGAGATGTGGTCGGCCAGTGGAGCAGCAGTCATCCTCGTAGCTATTTGCTGCTTGCAAACGAGATACAGCCTAAGAATTGTTCACAGGAACGGCTCCAAGTAGCAAATTCTTTTGAGAAAGCTGCAATCTGCTCGTGGCTAATTCGAGAACAGAAAGAGAGGAGGACTGGTGCATGTGATGAATTATTCACGTGGTGCACCGTGAGGCTGGTGGTGCAGAGGTGTGGGGTAGGCATGGCTTGGACCTCATCGTCTCAGGCAGAGAGAAAACTGAACTGGCTCCAGGTCTGGGAGTAAATTCCTTTCCTTGATATTGAAATTGGGACAAGCAAGCAAAATGCAAAAGCTAGATCCTGGGCAATGAGGTATGTATGTATGCCACCAGCACAGAAATTAGTTAGCAGCAGACAATGAGGTTACACCTGGGAGGAAAACTAGACAAGAATTAGATGCTGCTGAACTGGGGGACGATACCAACCAGCAGTCCAAGAGCATCTGAACAGCCACACCAGGCAGCAGGCTGCAAAGCCTATGGGTGTGCCTTGGTCCCAATGGCTTTTGGTGTTGCCATGTTTAGCTGGTGGTGCACCTGTCAGGACAGGGTGATTAGCACTGAAGTGCAGCTCCAGAACTACGTGAGAGACAAGGATCAGAAGGAAATGAGAAAGGAGGAAAGTGTGAGAGGATGAGAGTGGGGCTGACATTGAAGGGAAGGTGAAGATCCTGGTAGAAGTGAGCCAGAGGTGAGGGAGGCATGGAAGGAATGCAGATGGGAAGTGGAGGGGCCAGAGATCCCACAGTGCTTGATAGATCTGACCCTGGGAGACCTGCTGCCAATGGCAGCAGCCTGGAGAAAGGGGCATTTTGTTCGATAGGATGATCTGGACTCAGTGATGGTCCTGCTAAAGGGTCAGACCAGGGCTCCATCGTCACGCTCTGTCCTGGCTAGGAATCCTGCCTCGGGGCCAGGGCTGTGAAGACACAGCTCAGCTTCTTCCCAGGAGTCCTGCTGGGCTCAGGAACTCCTCCAACTGGATGGCAGCAGGCATAGATATAAACCTTGGGCACAGATCAACTCAGACATCACCAGCAGCCATCTGGCCACTGCTGCTGGGGGGCTTAATACGAGCAGGGAAAATGAGATCAGTCACAACAAAGAACAAACATTCCTGGCCAGGAGTGACCAGAAAAACAAATCCTTAAGCCAAAGACAGTCCAGGTGGAGCAATAAAATGACGTTTTCTCATAAAGGAAGTTTTTCACCCACCAGTCTCTGTGGGTGAGGTGGGAGTGGAGCAGGCTGCCATAGGAGGGAGGTGGCAACAGAGTTATTTTGCCGAATGCTTCGTTGTTTGCTATGGGAGATAAGATAGAAAGTGCTCTGATAGCAATACTTTCTGCAAATATTTGGTGACTGCATTTGATTCTATCCAAGCAGAGACCACCAGCATACCCTGTCTGTGATGAAGAGACTGTTTCCAGGTTGTCAGAGAAATTCTGTTTGTCATCTCCATCTGGAGCTGTTTTCAACAGCATGCTTGTGTTCTCAGCCCATGTGCATTTTAGTCCTGCTCCAGCCTGGGTGTCACTGTTTGGGACTGGGACTGACCCAGCAGATAGGAATGATGCTCACAAGAGGTGCAGAGCTTGTGGGATCCTTTGGGCTGCACTGGCAGGAGTGGATGAGGGAGCTGGGATGGTTCAGTCTGGAGAAGAGGAGGTCAGGGGAGATCTCCTCACTCTCTCCAATAGCCTGAAATGAGGTTGTGGCCAAGCTGGGGTCGGTCTGCTCCCATGTAACAGTGATAGGATGAGAGCTGATGGCCTCATGTTGTGCCAGAAGAGGTTCGGGTTGGATATTAGGAAACATTTCTTCTCAGGAAGAGTGGTGATGCAATGGCACAGGATGCCCAGGGAGTGGTGGGGTCACCAACCATGGAGGTGTTCAAGGAACTCGTAGATTTAGTCCTTAGGGATGTGGTTAGTGGGCAACATTGGTGGTAAGTGGATGGTTGGACTTGATAATCTTAGACCTCAACAGTTCTACGACTCTATGATCCAGGGAAGAAAAAACATGAGACTGAGAATTTCAAGCAAAGCTCCTTGGGGCAGTCTGGTTTCCAGGCTCCTGCATGTGTTACCCACCCACTCCTTGCGTAGGGACGTGTTGCTCCCTTTCAGTTAAAGCACCCTCCAGCAGAGTATCCTGTCCCAGGAGGTGGGCACCCCCTCACTGGGGTACTTCTCTGCTAGAAAAAGCTCCTTCCAACACTAAAGCAATTCCTCCACAGCAAAGTGCTCATGTGGGACGATTAAGCCAGCCTGCAGACTTCTTGTTAGTCAAGATAAACAGGTTGAGCTCCTTCGAGTTGCTTGTTTCTCCATCCATCTAGTGGCTGGCAGGCTCTGCACAGCCAGCTGTTGGCAGCACACGCATTGCTCTCAGCTGTGCTGTGCTGCTGTGCTCTGCTCTCCCCTCTTTATCCCTTGACTCGCTCCTCATGTGCTCTCAGTGACCCCTGGCAGACCTGCAGAGCCCCGTTGGACCCCTCGATGAAGCACTTGGCTGTATCAGTGTGAGGGAGGAAGGACCCCCGGTGATCCCATCTCTCCAGTCCTGCTGTGGATCTATCCATCCTTCCGTTCTTCGCCTCAGCCACAAAGTTCTTATGAATGAGTTTTTAACATGCATGTTGGAATCATTGATGAAAATACTGACTGCCTTAAACCTCCTGCTGGAAAACGTCATGAAAACCACAGGTTTAATGACAGCTCCCCATCGATGATGGCTGTCTGAGCTTCTGCCCAAGTCTCAATCTCTCACGTGCTTCTCCCTGACACTCCTGAGCGCCCATTTTTAATCAGCCATGCAGCGCAGTCCCTGTGCTGAGGAGTATCACATCTATTCAGTTACTTTTATTAACCAAACCTGTGATCTCTTCTCTGAATGGAATGAGGGCTGACAAGATCCATTTCCCATAAAGCCATGCTGATTTTCACTAATTCTCCTTCCAGCTGACTCCTGTATCACTTTCCCTTGGCTTTGTCCACGTCTGATGCTCAGGGCATCCCCCAGCCTGCTTTCTCTGGTGGGGGTGTGTTGTACCTTCCAGTAGTACTGCACTTACAGGGGATGCTCCTGTGTGATGTAACGCCTTCCCACTTTATAAGATAACCCCATTCAGTGCCATTTAATCTTTGATCTTAACATTGCTGGTGAGTTCTTCAAATTCCTCTTGTGAGACAGACATGAAGACAGCCCACAAACGTTTATTGCATTTCTGCCTTATTAAGAGCTTGGTCATCTCTAGAAGAAAAACCCCTGCCCCATTTTATTTTGCTCACTGAACATTTC